ATCGGTGATAAATGGGGTATTGATAATAAACGCTACGTTGCGCCTATTTTTGCTTAATTAAATTCCTTTAATTGTCCGGGAGGGACTCTTTAAGTAGGATATAGTACACCTATTAAGTCGAAAGAAAACGGTTCCGAGATTAAGGTATATATCTTTTCTTTTTTGGTGTGGGCCTTAATTTCCTGCCGGGTTAGTTCGCGTGTTAATTAAAGTGGAGCTCGCTCAGTGATCATTGCGGTACTCGGATATGCACTCCGACGCACCCATTACAACAACAGACGTAGGGCTAAAACTCGCCCGAGGCATCAAAGTCCCGTTCAACTGTCCTTAATATGCCAGGTGCAATAAGGAGCTAGCAACAGCAGTGAACTAGAAGCACAACTTCGACTACCGCAGATGTTAAGGAGCAAAACTGATGGCGAAGCTATTGATCCCGGATTGCGCAATTTCGCCCAAGGGAGATTATCCCGAGGACGGTTTTTCTTCTTTCTCTTTTGCGGCCTTCTCCGCGGTTCGTATAAATCTCTAAGCTGAGCGCGTGGGCCACATTGTTTAAAGTAGAAAGGGCTGTACCAGGTTCCCCGATAAGACCCCTCTCGAAATAAAACGCACCGAGTACATAAACATATTTCAAAGATATATTGCTGCCCTGCGGCACTTCGCTGGAGACCGCACCACACCGCCGCGCCTCGATGCATTATTGTCAACGTTTTTGGTTTGTTTTTCGTAGGAAATGCCGCGGGGTTTGTCCCCCGAGCCGAGACGAATATCGGAAACCCAGCGCAGCAATTTGAAGATAAGGAAAATTCGCAAAATATATTCTATTTTGTAAACTTATTGTCTCGGGGAACCCTTTCTTATCCCAAAAGTTTGTTAAAAGCTAGGGGAGAGTTATAATCGCCAGATTGCGTTCGGAAATCTTTCTTAAATTAACGAATAATTAATTTTGAATTCTTGACTAATTAACTTCTTAACTGCCTAAACTCCTTGTTAATAATCTTACACATTTTTTTGTTTCTAATTCACTTAAAAAATCCTAATTGCTATTATTAATAATCCAAGATGGCGAAAAGATGATTCATAAAAAGCGATGAAAATGAAAAAAACATGCAATATGAGCGACTGCAGGAAATTAGCCCCCCATTTTTGGATTTTTAAATTTTTCATTGTTGTTCTAGATTGTTCTAGAGTTGTTCTACATTGTTCCAAAGCGGCAAATCGAAAAAATATAAACTCCGCGAGAAAACCGAAAAAACGGGTTTTTTGACTAGCCCCCCATTTTTGGAAAAATCAAATTTTCTTTGTTGTTCTGGGTTGTTCTAGTTGTTCTAGTTATTGTTCTAGAAAATCAAAATTATGGGATACAGCATTACGAAGTTATAACTAAAAATAGGTTTGGCCGCCGAAATGTCTAGTTGATTGCTGTGACCATAGTTTTTCTATTATCAATTCCATATTACAAATATATACTTATTATAGCTAACGCAATCTGGAACAGCTATTATTTTCACTAGAACAATTCTCTAAAGGGCACTTTACTCTTTGAAAGTTAAAGTTTTTGGAAATTTCAATCAGTAATTCTTGTGTCAGCGGTTTTATATTACACAATAAGGATTAAAAAGCATAGAACAATCTAAAACAACTCAATTAAATATTATTTAATGACTTACGAAAAAAATCCGTACAAGTTGAAGAAGCTACTGAAATAAATGTACAAATGTGCATATACACTCAGCAGCAGAAGTCTGCGTACAACGAACGTAGTATGCTTTAAGCGGTAAAAAAATAGTGATAATCTAATGCGATAAACTTCAACTCATATTTTTTCTGTATTATCTAATTTATTAACAAACTATAAATCAATAAAATATAAACATTACTTAATAAAAAAAATTTAAACTAAAAATACTTCAAATAATGCCTATGCAAAAATCTGCGTACAGATCAAGGCGACTTCTATAAAAAATATATTAGTAGGAGGTCGGATAACCCTTACGTTTAATGACCTCCCTTAAACGTTTCGGCATGGATTGTACTAATTTCTTCGTGTCTTCCCTAGTGATTTTTGCCCATTCGTCAATCATAACACTTTTTAGCACTTCCTTCGATGTTATATTATGTTGACGAATCCTGCGTTCCAATAAATCCCACGAGTGTTCAATCGGATTTAAGTCCGGTGACTGTGGGGTTGTTTTCAATTGTTTTGGGGTGTTATATAGCAGCCAAAGTTTGGTATTGTGGGCACAATGTTTAGGGTCGTTGTTTTGTTGAAAAATGTATTCGGACCCCAAACCCAAGTTGTCGGTGCTTGGCTTCAAATTTTCCTTTAAAATGTCTATATATAGTTTATGGTCCATTGTGGATGTTATAAATGCCAATTTTCCTACTCCTTTGGCGCACATACATCCCCAAACCATCACTCCACCACCTCCATGTTTTACAGCAGCTTTTAAGTTTTGAGGATCAAGAGCAGTACCGGGTTTTCTCCACACAAGTTGTTTTCCTTTAATGCCGAAGATGCAAAATTTACTCTCATCTGTAAAAAGAACCTTCTCCCAGAACTCTATAGGCTTATTTAGGTGTTCTTTAGCAAAGGCGATCCGCTTCTTTCGATTGACATCTGATACAAATGGTTTTTTTCGTGCAACGTGACTGGTAGTTGGCCTTTCATAATATTCTTCTCACTGTATCTTTGCTGATTGTCTTATGAAACTGCTGTTGTACATTTTCTGCTATTTTTGTTGCTGTCAGCCTAGGTTCTTTTCGTACCTGCTGCACAATGCTTCGCTCCTCTCGGTATGTTAGAAGGGATGGTCAACCCGTTCGCGGTCGTGAGACGTAGTCTCCAGTGTTTTTGTAGTTATTAATGACTCTCTGAATAGAGGAATGTGATCTGCCTACAGTTGCTCCTATTTCTCGTAGAGTTTTTCCCTCTTTCCATAGCTTTACAATAATCTTTTTTTCTCCAACTTCAATTTCTTTTCCTTTCGTCTCCATTCTAACTTTTAGCTTCCAATTCTTTACTAATGCAATTGAAATCAACTATTTTGTTGTTAAAACCGGAAACACCTATTTACAAAACCGGTTTACACTAGTCGCTTTGCTCTGTACGTAGATTTTTCCATAGGCATTATTTGAAGTATTTTTAGTTTAAATTTTTTTTATTAAGTAATGTTAATATTTTATTGATTTATATTTTGTTAATAAATTTATATATTGTTAACATGCAGAAAAAATATGAGTTGAAGTTTATCGCATTAGATTATCACTATTTTTTTACCGCTTAAAGCATTCTACGTTCGTTGTACGCAGACTTCTGCTGCTGAATGTATGTTTATAAATGAGCAAAGTGATGTAACCATATTATTCCATGATATTAGTTTATTTACATAATTTAGTTTATTTAGTTATAGTTTACCTTAGAATAAGTTATTGTACTGATATAATAATACTGATCGAATAGTTATTGTATTATTTGTTAGTTTAGTTTATTTATTAATTTATTACTTAGTTTATACAAAATAAAATACACTTTAAATCGCAACTTATGTTTTACTATTATAAGTTTAAAGAGAAAGGTGAAACTTGTGATTTTTAGAAAATTAGGATGGTCAGATTATTCCATATTTTTTTAGTGTTTTAAAACTATTATTACATTAAAGGTTGGGTTCACTGATTCAACAAAATCTGTCCGATATCACAATAACTGAAATTTAAGGTTTTTCTAGTGAAAATAACAGCTGTTCTGAATTGTTTTAATTGTTGTAAGTACTAATTGATTAGAAAGTTACTAAGTGATTAAATAAACATTTTAAGTACCTAGAACAACAAGAACAATTTAGAGCAACAAAAAATATGTGATTTTGCAAAATTAATATCCATGTTAAACGTAAAACACATCTAGAACAATTTGAATCGACAAAGATTGAGTTATTTTAGATTGTTCTATATTTTTTAATTCTTATTGTGTAATATAAAACCGCTGACACAAGAATTACTGACTGAAACTTCGAAAAACTTTAATTTTCAAGGAGTAAAGTGCCCTTTAGAGAGTTGTTCTAGTGAAAATAATAGCTGTTCCAGATTGCGTTAGCTATAATAAGTATATATTTGTAATATGGAATTGGTAATAGAAAAACTATGGTCACATCAATCAACTAGACATTTCGGCAGCCAAACCTATTTTTAGTTATAACTTCGTAATGCTGTACCCCATAATTTTGATTTTCTAGAACAATAACTAGAACAACTACAACAACCCAGAACAACAAAGAAAATTTGATTTTTCCAAAAATGGGGGGCTAGCCAAAAAACCCGTTTTTTCGGTTTTCTCGCGGAGTTATTATTTTTTCGATTTGCCGCTTTGGAACAATGTAGAACAACTCTAGAACAATCTAGAACAACAATAAAAAATGTAAAAATCAAAAAATGGGGGGCTAACTTCCCGTACTCAATATGAGCCCAAACTCGACATATCTAGCTAGTATAATAATCAAGATGGTCGAAAACAAAACACTAATAAATACACGTCATCTATGCTTTTAAAAGTGATTTTTGTGGTGTATTGATGTGCCATAAGCTATATGATATAATAGCGTTTCCCAAAATTATGTTTGGTTTTTGAGAAATAAATTTTCAAAGTTGTAGTTTCTTAAACGTTACAAATTAAATTTTTTTAACAAACAATAAATAATTCTAATCACGATCAACTGTATTATTACGTACGAACGTCACTTTTCCAATAACTTTCGAGTTGACCCGACAAATCCAGCCTCGTTCGTTGTTGAGAGAGCCTTTCCAAAAAGGGCCCAGATTCCTACTCGGTATTAAGACCTGTTTTATCGACCGAACCGGACCGGAATGTTAACCATCCAGTCGATACATGCTCGTCCCGTTCGGATCGGTTTATTAAGCAGTCACCGCACGGACGAGCACCACACTCTCCTTCTATCGAGATGCACTATCGAGCGCTAACTGTCCATCTTTCGTTTCTGTTTCAGGAAATTCCCGGTGTGATATGATTCAACGATGGATGAACGAAATGGCAAGAAGGTGTTGATGTTCGAAATACTGTTCGCGCTAATCTGGGCTTTGGACGTGGCGCGAGCGTGTCCGAGCATGTGTACGTGTCGATGGAAGAATGGCAAGCAAACCGTTGAGTGCGGTGAAAGAAACTTGGTCGAGATACCGGAAGGTATGGATGCGAGTACGCAAGTTTTGGAGTTTACCAATAATAGGTTAAAATCGTTACAAAAAGAATTGTTTTTTAAAATGAATTTAATTCACCTTCAAAAACTGTATATATCCCATAATCATATATCGAGAATCGACGAGAATGCATTTAAAGGTTTAACAAATTTAATCGAGTTGGATTTATCCGGAAACTTATTAGATGTAATCCCAACGGTTAGTTTTATTGATTGTCCGTCTTTAATGAGATTAATATTAAGTTTTAATCCAATTTCGTACGTTAAAAGATATTCGTTTAATCACTTAACATCTCTAAACACGGTCGAGTTAAGTAGTTGTCAAATCGAAGACATCGAAGAAAATGCTTTCGAAGGATTACCCAAAATCGAGTGGTTAAAATTAGATCATAATAAAATTCGGTTTATAACCGATAAAAGAATACTTCCGAAAACTTTAAGAGGAATCGAATTACAAGGAAATCCATGGTTTTGTGATTGCAATTTATTAGAGTTTCATTCTTGGATAGTTGACTTTAAAATACCAAGTGCGGAAGAACCGCTTTGTTATAAACCATCAAAATATTCGGGAAAGTCGGTTCGAAGTTTAGTACAAAATGATTTGGCGTGTTTACCCGAAATAGGACCAACTAGCTTCTTCTTAGAAGTGGATGAAGGGAAAAATATCTCGTTATTATGCCAAATAAAATCAATTCCCGACGCTGAGGTTTCGTGGTGGTTTCGAGGTCGCGTTTTACAAAACGATTCGATGGTAACTCCGACGACTCGATTAATTTATTTCATAGAAGAAGGAGACGTAACTGAAAGAACAAGCGAATTATTCATATTTAACACAAATTCAGAAGATAACGGCACTTATATTTGCAGTGCTGAGAATCCAGCGGGAAAAGTTCAAACTAACTTTACAGTTAAAATAATATTAAAAGAAGAACCTTCCGTTGAAATTATCATAATTCCTTTTAATTACTTAGTTGTGGTCGCGACAGGTGCGGGTATTTTAATACTTTTACTCTTTATTACAATGATTATATGCGCGACAAAATGTAAAAATAGAAAATTAAAAAAAAATGAAGAGATGAAACAAAAAAAGGATCAAGAACAAACACACCACGAGGTCGGGATTAAGATAGATGAGAACAAAGAGGTGCAGAATAATGGTCAGGAGGTATTGTTTTATGCCGCGCATTCGAGCGATGACCTCCTTCTAAATATGTCCCCAATTTCGATGAACCAAGTCCAGTTAGAACAGAACCCAGACTTGATTAACGACGCAGAGCGTCGACAGGGCGACGGTGAAGATTTGCACGTGACCACGAACTTACACGAACACCCAAACTTCGTTAGGCGAAAACTACCGACCATCCACAGTTGGGACGTTGGTTGTTCCTTGATAGATATGGACGGGTTCCCGCTTGATTACGGTCTCCCAAAACCGCCGCCAGCGAACAATTGTTACCGTACATTGCCCTATAACAGAGCGAAGAGACAACCCGCGGGAATTACCACCAGCGGTAGATTCTCCCGGGAAGCGGAATTTTTACAGCACACAATTCATCCATCGTACGAACATTATTGTTCCAACGTTAGATACACAGCCGATGGTTATCCAGTTAGAACGTTGGAAATCGTCGCTTCACCACCCGAAGAATATAAAAATGACGATGCACCAAACTCACTACCATGTTGCGTTCCTAACAACGTAGTCGGAATTCTTCCATGGCCCCAATACGTCTCAGCAAACATTCATAAACGATGTGTAAGTGCGCAAACTGACGGAGAACCCGGCGCCTCCGCCATAATCATCCCAAACGATCAAGTTAATGATGGAGGAGTTACCGAAAGTCCGGACGAAGGATATGGTGATGAACCAACCGTTGTTATTTAAAACAACGTTTAAAATGGTATAATAAGGTTTACAGGGTATTTTGATTACTCTGTTAAAAATGTCGAAAATTGTAATAATCGAAATAATGATTTCGAGAAGTATTTTTGAACGTAAACAAAAACCTGATTGATGCACTTCTTTCGCACCATTAAAAGTGCAGTTCAATCGTGCGCACCCCCTTTAATGAAAGCAATTCATCATTATCACCGCGGTGGCTGCGAAGTATCCGCTCTGTTAAACCGTCGTCGACGGCGAGATTCTTTTGTGTTTAGATAACTGGGTCAGAGCCAGATCAATACGCAACCGCGTTGAGGCGACAATCGCGGCTGCGGCTGCATTATTCACGGACGCAGAGATTGATTCGTTGCAATATTAAGTACCTGGGTTTGAAACCCTTAGACGCGGTAATGAACTGAAACTTATAACTCGTTGTTGATCGTGTTACCGAAACCTAGTCTTATGATTAATATTGACCTGACCAATAAGGAAACTTAGGTTAGGTTGTACTCTATCGGATGTGTACTCATTAAAACTGTATCGTTATCGCTCCAATTGAAATGTAAATACTATGAACGATTTTTTTTAATCTAAGATTTCTTGTAAATATTGAGTGATGAAATTAAAACCTTTGCATAATCATGTACAAAGTAAATTTATTATAGTGCATTTTTTTTTGTTAAATCTTAGGCAATATTAAATAGTAGAAAATTATAATAAGCATGATCATCTTATAAATGGTATGTTAGGTTTGTATTGAAAGAATAAATAAAAATTTGCGAATTTTACTTGCAAGGGAAATGTCAGGGTTTTGTCTCGGCGATTTCGATGAAACTTGGCAAAGAATTAGTTTGGTCCAAATTAAGGTTGACGTATTCTTTTATACGTTCGGGGAAAACTCTTGGGTCGTGTTATAAGGGATGAAATTATATCTTCATTTATATCTCAAATAAAGTGATTAATATTTAATTACTCTATTGATTTTTACTCTGCTTCAGGATAAAAAAAAAATTATTCATCCGTATGAGTCATAACGGAAATAACTTTGTCATAGTTACAGACTCGTTGAGTGCTGTTGAATCACTACAAGCAATGTGTCCAAATGAACCGATGGTACGGATGGTTGGAATAACCGTACTCAAAAACCTTAATGTAATACACAATCTTGCAATGCGGTACATACTTAGAGCTTTTCCCACTAGTCCGGTTAATAGTTTGTGTTATGAATCTGGTATTGCCCCTCTTCACCATCAGCGTTATTGGCAAATTCTTAATTATTTTGTAAAAAAACGCATGCAACCTAAGTACCCAATCTCTATATTGTTTTCCCAACAACCACCTGTGTACAGATCAACAGCCACAAAACCGGCAGTAGTGAGGACCAAAGAACTGCTAGGAACTTTAGACTTTCTTTATGCTGCCAATTTACTCCTTGGCAGTTAAATAAACCCGTTTTCAAATTAAATCTTACATGTTATGCTAAAGAGAGTGCACCACGGGAATTATTTAGAGCTGAATTTAGAAATATAATCAATGCCTATGATGATGCTGTTTTTATTTATACTGATGGTTCCAAAAAAGAGGGTGGGGTTGGTTGTGCGTTTGTGGTTGGGAATAGTGATTATTCATGGAGCTTACAGAGTTTTGCGTCTATCTTCTTTGCGGAGTTGTATGCCATCTTCCAGGCTGTGTTATAATAATAATAATAATAAACTTTATTTCCATTTCCAAAACAAGTATATATATATATATACAAACAAACAGTAAAAAACCAAAACGATATACATAGAAATGAAAATTGGAAAATTATTACTCCCAGTTTCTCTTGGTTGTATTCATCAGGACGTTGCTTGGTCCTTTCATCGTCTTTCGCAGTTTTTTTACACATTTGCATGATCTGTACCTGGAATTTCATATAACTCCCAATATATGAATGCAGTAACCATAGTTATGAAACTACTATGTACTTGCACTGTGCCACATAAAATGCAACATAGCTTAATAGTGCAGAAGATATTGGGTAGTGTTGCAAAGGAAAAGTTTTGCTTGCAAAAACGAATGTTTCGCACGGCTAAACCAGAATGATTCTAGTTCTAGCTCTTGTGTTAGTTCTAGTGATAGTGGTAGTGTAAAACTAGAACTAACACTAGACCTACAGCCAGAAAAATTCAGACATGTTGCATTTTATGTGGGACAAAGTAAGTAGGTACGCCCTGGTTTTTATGGAAATAGATCGTAGTATATTGCATTTTAAATGAAATTCATTGTGTATATGATCTCCATCATACTGCCTCGGTCGCAAACGACCTCGGCTACTATTTTTCTCTCTCAGCGAAGATAAAGCTATGTTGCTTCGGCATACAATATATGCTGGCGTGGTACATATGGTCTCGGCTACACTGCTTCGGCCGCAAGCCACCTCGGCTACTATATTTGTCGCCCATCAAAAATAAAGTTCGTTGCCTCGGTAAACATTTGTATAAGTATACAGGGTGATTCGGGAGGAAATGGAAAGATTTTAAGGACATGTCTAGGAAGCTAAAAATAAGCAAAATAAGCCCATATGTTCAAATCCGATTTTCATTTGTTTGAGATATTTTGAACAATAATAATTTCAAAATTTATCAAATTAAAGCAAAATTTATTACTAAACTAACAAACCAAAAAAACAAGTAGCATTAATTCACATTAAATTTTCGAAAACTCCACCATCCACTTCGATACACTTATTTGCGCGTTTATAAATGGACCTGGTAGCCAGTTTCAGTGAACGATGATTCGCTCTAATGAACGCCGCAGCATTAAGAATACGATCTAGTAGCGCATCCCTTGTGTCCACTTTCCTAGCATAAACTAAGGACTTCATCCATCCCCAAAGACAAAAATCTAGGGGAGTGAGGTCCGGTGATCTCGGTGGCCAAGGGTGCGGGCCTCCTCTGCCAATCCAGCGATCTCCGAAATGCGTATTTAGAAAATTCCTCACATTATTTGAATAATGAGGGGGTGCTCCATCATGTTGGAAGATCATACGTTGTCGAATGTTCAAAGGTACATCGTCCAATATTTTCTCTAAATGGTCTTCCAAAAAATGTAAATAACCTTCCCCAGTAAGACGGCCATCCAACACAAAAGGACCAAACAACTGATTATTTAGAATGCCGCACCACACATTAATACTAAACCGATGTTGGAAATTGTGTTCTTGCGTGGCATGGCGATTTTCGTCCAACCATCGATGATTATTATGGTAATTGTTAATTCCATCTCGAGTAAATTGAGCTTCATCAGAAAATAATATGCATTTAAGTAATCTTCTGTTTTCACGAATCCATTGACAAAATTGTAGTCTTAATGGATAATCGCCTTCTTGGAGATTTTGTACTTTCTGCAAATGAAAAGCGTTTAAGCCTTGCCGCTTTAATGTTTTCCAAACCATTGTTTGTGGAATTTCAAATTGTATTGCCATGCGCCTTGTACTTATCCCTGGATTATTTTCTACAACATCCAGAATATTTTCTTCATGTTCCAAACTGAGCCCTTGCTGTTTTTCAGAAACAATGCTTGCACTTGGGAACATTCCACTTTCGCCAGCACGTGTAAAAACAGTTTGAAACACTTGCCTATTAGGAATTCTTCGATTCGGAAAACGACGTCGATACTCTTCTACTGAACGAACAGTATTACCATTACAAAAACCATAAACAAACACCATATCTGCATATTCTCTATGACTGAAAATGTGAGGCATTTTTATTATTTCGTAACAATTACAACTATCACTTTAATTAACATTTTGTTTCAAATTGTCATATAGGATAACGTTGTCAAACATAACTTGATTAACTTTTTAAAAAGAAAAACCTAATTATCTCGGAAACAAATGAAAATCGGATTTGAACATATAGGCTTATTTTGCTTATTTTAGCTTCCTAGACATGTCCTTAAAATCTTTCCATTTCCTCCCGAATCACCCTGTATATGATCTTCATTGCGAATTTTTCAAGAAAAACCACCTTAGTGCAAAAATATACTTTGGAAAACTTTTCAAAACACCAAAATACCTCAACCTTAATTTGGGTAATTTCCACCATTAATAAATTGATCATGATAATAAATATATATTAGGAAACTCTGTAGATATTTTCTTTTAAATTTAGTAGTAAATTACAATTTATTAGAATTTGTGTTACCTTATAATTAGTAAATTTTTTAAATCCGATTTATACATTCACAAGCGCATAACAATAAATAAAAATTTGTAGAAATCCAATATATTCGTATGAATCAGTAGATATTAGAATATTTTTAGATAAAAATAAATAAAATCCCCCAAAAACGCACATGTGGTGAAACTTTTATATAAAAATAAAATCAATCACAACACATATAAAGCGGTATATTTTATTCGACCCTTTATTATATTTTAGAAGGTAAGTAAACTGTGCTTATTTTTTATATAATTCAAGTTTAAAATAAAAATAAAAGTTTTTGTTTCGTACGGCCATTAAATTTGTTTTAATGGGTATTTCCATGAATTTTAATTATTTATTTGATTTATTATTTTGTTTGCTGTGCTTTGAATTATTTGTTGTTTGGTAGCAGTAAATTCATGCTGTTTTAATGTGGTCCTGCGATAAAACTCGTTCAACTTCGTGCCATACCGATGTAATCACATTACGTTTTGATGTATTGCTTTTTGGTCGGAAAACGATTGATCATTTTGCAGAAATATTCAATGGTGAGGTATCAATTTATAAGAAGATTTTCGTTTGCCGACCTTCGTCCGACTTTTCCCCGTTAATTGAAAGACTCGTTAATAAACGACGTTATATTTCACGTTCGGAACATAAATTTTCTCCGAAACTCAATTATCCCCCGAGCCGAATTTCCATTGTATTTTGTTGTTGCCTCTCTCGTCGTCAAAAAGTAACGACCAGTTAGCGGCAATAAAATTCCCGGCGGCCATTTTCCGCAGGAAGCGGGTTTGTCTTAGCCGGTCGGGTCGCTTGGAGTTTAGTAATTTATAGGGTCATTTCGGCGCGCGGCGTGGCATTTTTCTAAGCATCAAATTCGAATTTTATACCTCCACCGCTTTTTCCTCTTTTCCCTCTTTCCCCACTTTTCGCGCGGAATTGAAACGAAAAAATAAATAACGGGACGCGAGCGGCAGATGAAAATTTGTATTCGACATAAGTGTAATGGTAATGGGTACCCGATTTATAGCACTCGCCATTCTGCAAAACTAGTGCCGTACGTTTCCGTACGAAGTATATCCGGGAATGGCTTCGCCTGTTTTATGAACAGAACAAAACTTTTAGTTTTCCCGACTCTCTATGAAATTGAAACATAAATACATGTTTATAAACACTGTACGCTACGAATGTTATTGCCTCGTGTTTTACGACCGCCAAAACAAAATTATTATTAGTACGTAGACTGTAACGAGGGCGAAAGAAACATCAAAGATCTCGCGTAATTTCAATTTCCGTAAAAACATCCTGGAAAATCCAAGAGGACTACGCCACCAGCATCAAAGAAGTCGCAAATTAAATTCCGAAAACTGGGAAGTAGGCGAAATCGTTTCCTCTTTACTGCGGCCAATAAATTGGCAATTTGTATGTTT